TATGAATGTCTTACCATTATTACTAACTGTCTTTTTTTCTATAAAGCGTAATTGAGGTGTGGAATAAGTTCTTGTTGGGAGAAATAAAGCAAAAAAGGATACAGCCTGGTGTATTAAAGCCGGTTCAGCATTACCTAACGCATATCCCGTACATGATCGAAAAGCAAGGAGTACTGAAAGCTTATTCTGGCCGATCAATGGAGAGAACGATAGGTAGATATAAAAAGCTGATAAAGTCAAAAGTTGATGCTGGTGCCATTGCTGGAAATGTTCTTGAGCGGTTTACTCTATACAACTACGTTAATGGCCAAAACATTAATCTAAGAGAGGCCCTTAATCTGATTGAGCCAAAGCCATACACGAGCAACACTTTCTTGCAATTAGACTTTCAAGATCAAACCACCTCTCAGCTTTGGTCTCCAGTATATTATCACTGTCCTATCTCGACTCTTCCCTGTGGTGTTTCTTCTGTTCAGTTTGCAACTGCTCTTCAAAAATCGTACCAAAGAATCTATTCAAATCAACAGGAATACTCACCATCCCAGGATTCCGTGTTGAACATCGCTGGTCGCGCTTGGTTCAATAACATCATCTTTACCTCTGCACTATATAAAGATCATATTAATGAGAGAAGAAGAGGTAACAATTATGTTATGTTTACCGCATCTCACCTAAAGTAAGTTATATAACTACAATCTCTTGTCCAACTTTATCTAATACTTTCATATACATTCATTCGTAGCAATCTGAATAAACCTGTCAACCAGCTCTATGTGGGCTCTATTGTTTTCTTTTTTGAGACAGTATTGCGAGACGAAAAAACTTTTCTGGTGTTGATTGATGTTGCAGAAAGTCATGGTGTCGTTAATTATGACAAATATATGCCTAAGGTTGTTTTACGTCGTCCGGGTTGTTGTGAGATGAAGAGAGAGTAGATATTCAATAAGAGAAAAGGTAAGAACACAGAGAAAGTCCGTTAGAACTTGTATAGGTTTTATTTCTCCCAGAAATATGTTGTCTTTCAATTGCTATAAAATGTCAAGGTATTTATACTTTTTCTTCTCGGTCAAAATATTGTTTTGGGTTAGCTTCTTGACTACGGATTGATTTGTTAGATCAGGAGCAATTAAGAGAAATGCCTTTAGAGGAAGTTGTCAGCTCAGCCAATAGTACATGATCTGACCTGAACTTGAATAAACTATCACATATTTGTCAAATGCCAATGCCAATGTATTCGTCAGCTCTAACTGTCACTTTATAAGGGCCATTAATAATAACAGAGTCAATAGGTTCATAATCTCTGTCTATGAGGATGATGTAGTACTCCTAGTAGAATGAGTGAATGTCAGTGACTATAGATCCATTGCAATTGCCATAGATGTGATCTGGTCTTTTGCCATGATCATCAATTATTGATCTATGCATATGAATTCATATATGTTCACAACACGGGTCAGCACAAATATGTTGTCTGTCGATTCGAAGATATTGTTTGTAATGTAGGTCTGGTTCGTTATAATCAAGCACTGAATCATTACAAAGTTATATCACAACATATCTTCAAAGAGCTATTAGATTCCAAAATGGGGCAAGCACGAAACCTTTAAATTTGTAGAAAAAAAAAGTTAAACAACCCCAATAAAAAAAGAAAGAGTTATTTTTGTTAAAAAAACCCAAACAATTATTAAATGTTCAACATAACTCAATATACTCTTTTTAGATGAGTCTCATGTCAAACTCTTAGGAGTGCGTCAGCGTATTGCATTGTGCAAACCTTTTTTTTTTTGGTTTTTTATAAGAAACATTATCAGTATTATTGTACTTGTAAAAAAAAAATAAAGAATTTTTCTTGCTCATAAAGCTACTATTATTGTCGCAGTACTTGTCGCCTCATAACTTTTATTGTTGACAAAACGAACAAGTTTGTTCCCCACAAACAATAAAATTAATGATTTTGAATGATATGACTTGCTTTTTAGAAAAATAAAATAAAGGTTGTTGACATTTCGAACAACATTAGCAAAAAAGTTACTTTTTCTTGTTTGTTTTGCGAACAATATTAGTAAAGTCAAACAACTAATCCGCCATAGTGAAGAGAACAAGACCATCAGGCTTCGATAGGAGGCAAGCAGGTAGGCGCGACGATAGCCTTTTATGGCAGGCTTGGATCACCACCAGAGGTAGCAATCCACTGCTGCAAAGAGGCAAAGCGAGGACAGAAGGAGAGACAGAAGAGTGGCAGACCAGCTTCCAGATGAGGTTGTTCTTCAACAACTTGGGCCACCGGAAGCGAGGAGCCGCAGGAGCAGAGGCGATATGCTGTAGCATAGCCGAAATGAGAGTATCAGGTGGCAGCTGTTGCATGCGCACCAACATCTTGAAGCCAAGGATGGCAACACGCTCCTTCATGGAGGGCAAGTGGGTCAAATGCTTGAACACCACTGTAGACGCCTTCGAGTGACCGCCAAAAGCAAGTCGGAGACACTGGTCTTGAGCACGCTCAATCACCTTGAGGTCACGGACCAAGAGAGAAGAGATAGCAAGGCCATACTCCAACTTTGGCCGGATGAAGGTGGCATAAAGCCGAGCAGAGGTCAAACGGGAAAAGCCAGTGAGTGGACACCCAAAGGCTGAAGACCAGAACGCATAGCCACCATGGCAGAGCGTGCATTGCGCTGGACCAACAGAGTAGCATCTAGTGGCTTGCTATTGAAGGGCAAGCCCAAATAGTCAAAAGACTCAGCAACAGGAAGAGCAGCGCCATACAACCGGAGGGAAGAAACGCGACCAGAGGGGGTGGATTGACCACAACGCATTTGGAAGGGTTCCACCTGAACCCAAGAGACAGAGAGTATTCTTCGGCCTTCTTCAGCAGGCGAGGCATCGTCTCAGCAGTGCCAATCAACACCACGTCGTCAGCATAGAGCAGTGAGTTGATCCAGAGGCCATCATACTTGCGTTGAGGCATGGATCCAAACACACGCGAGCGAGGCAGAGAGACAGAGCGCAGAGCAGCAGGGAACGAGTTGATGTACACAGAGTACAAGTACGGAGACAGGATAGAGCCTTGCAAGACCCCCGTACCAGGCCAGAAGGAAGGAGAGCGAGCACCAGACACCAAGACCTCCACCTGACATTGTCAAAAAGACAACGAAGCAGACCAAGCAGAGGATCAGAGACATAGGTCTCAAGAGCACGCCAGACAACGTTACGATCCACGCTATCGTATGCTTGCTTGATGTCCAAGAAGCATAGGACAGGAGGTTCACCAAAGTGATCATCAGCGTGCTGACGACACAACTCGTGCAGAGACAAGGCTTGATCAAGAGTGCCACGATGAGCACGGAAGCCACTTGCACTATGTCCAAGGGGACCAGAGTCCAACAGGTCAGGGTATAGACACAGCTCCATCAGCTTGCGCATGACCGAAGTCAAGCTAATTGGCCGATAGTTGGCTGCATCAAGAGGGTCACCTTTCTTGTAGATGGGCACCACCTGGCAGTACACCAATCACGAGGACCCGAGACCAGAACCAGCAAGAGAAAAGAGCAAGACCAAGAGAGGAGACAAGTCATCCACAATGGGCAACAGCATCTCAGTACGCAGATGGTCGACACCAGGAGCCTTACGACGAGAGAGCTTCTTCTTGATGGTGGATGCGACCAGGTCCAAAGTGAAAGGACAGGCAACATCACCACTAGAGGCATCAGGGAAAGGAGAAGCGGCAAGTCAAGGTGAAACTGAGACTGAGTACAGTACATCAGAAGCAGACACACAAGGACCAGAGGGAAAAGGAGGAGCAGACGGACGAACAGAAGGCAAGTGATCACCAGCAAACACCGAGCGAAGATGACTTGACATCACCGTAGCAGCCACAGCAGGACCTTCGGGTGAGAGAACCCAGGAGAAGTAGTCCGACTACGACGCAACCGCTTGATGGTGGCCGTGGTGTCAGAGAAAGAACCAGAAGAAAGCTTGTCACAGAACTGCTTCCATGTCTCACGACGACGACGCTTGAGCTCAGCATTGAACCGGTCACAGCAGAAGAGATATCGTTTCCATAGTACAGCCTTACCAACACCGTCAGAAGCTCGTTTCCAAGTTCTTCGGGCGTCCTCACGAGCATCCACCAAATGTTGCAGAGTGGCAGTCCAGAACCAGCTGTTACCAGGAGGCCGTGGTAGTTTGCGACCAACCGACTCATCGAGGCAACGGTGGATGGTATCAGTGAGTCTACTAGCAATAGAATGAACGTCAGGGATAGCCCCTTCGGTTGGAGAAGATGCGTGAGTAGAGGTACGACTGCTATGTTGCCCGTAGGCCGTTCAATCGAATACTTAACTTCTGCCAAGAGTGTATTTTTGATCGGCGCGCTATGCAACCGGAAAAGAGACTGATACAGCTCTACACTCTTGTGATCATCCAGACAAGACAGTTTCCATAAAAGACGCGGATGAGCGGCAGGAGCAGCCGCAGAGGCAAGGCAGAGAGCAAGAGAGAGAGACAGGAACATGGTCAGAGCCAAGGCCAACATCACGCACAACCAAAGAGGGATGGACCAGATCATCAAAGCTGATGAAAAGGTCGATCACACTACTCCAGCTAGTGTGCCCAGGTTGAGCATTGGCCATGCGGGCAGCAGAGAACAAGGTAGGAACACCTTTGGCCAGCAGAGAGTTCCAGCAGAAGAGACCAGCTTCTTCAACCCATTCAGCCAATCGAGTACCACGAGTGTTGCTTCGAGAGTCACCAAGAAGAGGAACACTACGTGCATTCAGATCGCCACAAATGAACGCATTGGTCTGAGAGGCATGGGTGCGAGCAGGGAGAGACATAAGGAGAGACATAAACTCATCATCGGTCAAGGAAGGAGGGGCATAGACACAATGAATGAGAAAGGTAGAAACCTGGCAGGAAAAGACATAAGGAGAGGAGGACGGAAGAGGAGTAACAGGATAGGGACAAGAGGGATTGACCAAAAGAGAGATACCCATCTTGCCACGGAAAGAGTCAGCAACAGGTTGACCATAGGTGTGGTACTGTTGCCAAGAGGTAGGGAAGCGGAGAGGAGGAAGAAGCCAGGTTTCGGTGATGAAAATGAGTGAGGAATCATAGAGGTAGTCGGTTACAGTGCTAATGGCTTGACGAGCAATACCATTAGCATTCCATATAGTCATGGTGAAGTCATAGGAAGAAGGAGAGGAAGGGGGCATAGAAGCATAAGGAGCCATAGGTACCTCGCTCATTAAGAGGAGGAGACCGGTTCACCATCACCGGCCAAGGTAAAATCCATACTAGAAGGAGGGACAGAAGGAGCGTCAGCACTAGCACAAGCACCAGCACTAGCCACAGCGGAGAGAGAACCAACCACGGAGCCAGCTTGTTCTTTCGACAACCAGCCTTGACGGACAAAGTCGTAGGCCACCTGTCTACGTACTTGTTCTCTGATGAATCCCAGAGCACGGACAAGACGAGCTTGCTGCAACTCGCGTGCTTTGGCAGAGAGAGCATCAGCATCCAAAGACGCAAAGGCAGGATCCTTGACGTTGGCCGCAGAGAAAGGATCAAAGTCAGTCAAGACCGGAAGCGAGTACTTGGCCATGACCTTAAGGAGATCCTCCTTATAGGCCGAATGGATCAACAAGGCTACGACGTTACGAGCCGGATAGTGCACATCAAGTACACGGCTGTTATCCAGCCCGATCAGTCGCAGCTTGCGGCGGATGGCAGAGAGACGGTCACGGTACTTGTTGGGCAAGTAGACGTACTCATAAAGAGGTCCGTCTACACAAGTACCAGCAGCAGCAGCAGCAGCAGCAGCAGGAGAAGAGACGAGAAAGATACGGGCAGCGGCCTTGCGTTGCTTAGGCGTAATCCTAGCCTTGGGTTTGGCCTTGGCAACCGAGGGAGAGTCGGACTTTTTGGGCCTACCAAAGGCCTCAGCAGGCGTAGGGTTCTTCTTGGCAACTTGAGCCCACTTGGAGCCAGCAGCAGAAGGCGAGACAGAAGAAGAGGGAGCAGCAACCAGATCATCCTCCATGGGCACAGCCAAGGAGAGGCAGCAGATGAGCCTGCTTGGGACTCAAGCTCCAAGATTCTGGAACGGGCGGCAGCCAGCTCCTTCTTGAGAGCAGAGTTCTCGGCGACCAGGGACTCCAGTTGGGCCAAACGCTCCTCATGGCGCTCAAACTTGGCCTGGAAAGCAGCAAACCAAGCAGGAGGAGAAGGAGAGAGAGAAGAAACCGAAGGGACAGAAGAGAGCAAAGCAACATTACCTACTTCTGGTAAAGAGTCAACACCAGAGCAAGAGGGGGGAACAGAAACACCAAAGTCAAAGACAACGTCTTTGTCGAGATCGAGATGAGCTGATCTCGAAGGGGTGCTGACGTCACCAACTCGAGATCGCGACAGGGTACGCGTCATGTCAGCAGGGATCAGAGATGGAGAAAGAGAGGAAAATAACCGCTTACCGGATCGGGTTAAAATTTTACCAGGAGTTTTAGTGCTTGAAGAAAGATGTTCTGACAAAGTTTGGGCTTTGTCTGGTAACTGGTTCTTGGTAGATGACGATCTAATGTCGAGATGATGTTGTTGCGATGTCGAAATGAGGGGAATCGCGGTAGTGAATGTGCTAGAGTTGTCGGAGTGGGACGTTTTTGGTACCAAAATGTGCGTAGGAGTTTGCAAAGTTGGAATAAAAAAAGAAAAACGCGGTTTAATAGGCCAGGTGCAGAGATTTTTTCAAAAACAGCAAGTGAATTCGAAAAAAATAATAAAAACCGGAGAAAAAAGGGGGGGATATGGTTTCTTGGTGTAGTTGGTTATCACGTCTGCTTAACACGCAGACGGTCGGCGGTTCGAGTCCGCCAGAAATCATATTTTTTTCATTTAAACATGAACACCTGGTCGCTATTTGAATTTCATGAAGCGCTTTCAGTTTTGATGCTATGGGACAAGGTTTGATTTTCATAAAGTCGCTTAAAAAAAAAAAAAAAAAAAAAAAAAAAAAAAATAATAATAATTGGTCAGTTTCAAATGAAAATTGGTCACCAATAAAGAAATGTAATGTATGCTTTTTATTTTGCTTTTTTTTTTTTTTTTTTTTTTTTTTTTTAGTCCTTTTTTTTTTTCGCAATTCAAGCATCTCTGCCAGAACGTCAAAGAATGCTTTATCCAATTCTTGCAATCTTTTCTGCTGATGTGAAGTGATGCGTTGCGAATAAGTTCGGAGATTTTCTCATTCTGCCTGACAGAAGAAGGATCGTCTTTTACAACAGTCTTCGGCTTGGACCAAAACTCTTCTATCAGATTTTAAAAAAAAAAGAAATGAGAATAAGGTGGCAAAAAGAGAGGTTTATAACTATGTTGCCCAACCCAATCTTCAATAAGTGCAGCCTTGTGAATGGATGCATTGTCAAGAACTAGACAATTGTAGCTCATGATAGCCGCATCCATTGTTGTGAGGACTTGCTCTATGTGTTCAAGGAAGTCACTGCTGGTAATACCATTTCTCTTGGGGGCCTGAGCTTTCTCACCAGGTCGAGTTCGTTCTCCACTTCTAGTAGTAAGTACAGCTTCTTTTTTTGGATAATGTAATTAAACCACTTTTGCAAATAGCACCCAAGATGCTGACATATGCTCCCTTCGTTTAAACATCAATTTGGCAAGGTGTTCCAGCCTCAGACCATCCATATGAGCGATGCATACTCCTGTTAAAGCCAGCTTCATCCAAGAATACACATTCATTCATAAAGTCTATGTTCTGGCTAACCAAGTATGCTACCGCATCTCGTCTTTTGGCAACAGTTTCATCCGTGTTTCTGTCATGCAGACCCGACTTTTTTTATGCAAAGATAAAATCCAGTATACAAATAGAGAGTATTAGCATTCTATAGTAGAACTTTTACCAAATCATTTTGCGAGTACTTCCCGAGAAGTTATTTGCACACAAATTTAGGGTGTATCTAGGGAATTCAATCTACGATATATGTAAGCCCTTAAAGCATTGCCCTTAACTAGTAGACCCTGTTGTGAACATATATGAACTTATATGCATAGATACTACATACGATAATAAGATAAGCTTTGTCGCGAATAATAGGGTTTCTGAACAAAGACAGCCAATCGAAGTTGAATACAACCTTCCTCATATGTACAAGGGAGAACAATCTGTTACATTTAAACAAACTTGTACTTACAAATATATCACATTTGATAAATAAACAAATACAGTGATTACATTAAGTGTCCCATAAAACTCATTTGTAAGCATAAATTAATATATTTTCGTCGTATTGACCTTGTGTTAGTATCAGAAAAAGCGCATTTTTTTTTTGCTGGTTACTCTAATTTCTCTATTTAGTAAGAGATACCATTTTGGGACAACTGAGGTAAAAACTTATTTTCTTCGGCAAATAAGCATTCTCAATTGTGGGTTTTCTACATTCTTCAACAAGTTTTAGTATAATCTACCCGATTACATATAAATACGGCAAGCTTTTCAGAAAAAATTCTCTTTTCTTCATTCGATATACATACCTTTTCTCCTTATTATCATGCCTTACAGCCTCCCATACGATAAACGAAACAACGTCAAACCTGCACTTTTACCAAGCCAATCAGTTTGTCAGGCCTCAAAGCTAACAGCTGTTGCCAAATCAACAGTTTCTCGTATTAGAAAAAAGTTGCCAGAAATGAAAACTTGCACTGGTACAGGTAGACCATCAAGAGTAGGCCATCTTACTGCTTGTTTGCTACGAATGAAAGTCCGAACTAGAGCATTGAAAAATTTTAAAAAAGTCCAAACTCGGTTGTCTGGACAGGGTATTGCTTTGACGTATAGTGGAACAGTCTCTCTGATGAAAAGGGTAGGACTATACTCAAAGCTTAAGCAGAAGAAAATTTTTCTGAGAGTTTCTCACCTTTCGAAGAGATACAAATGGGCCTTAACATATCGTAACTGGTCCGCAAATGAGTGAAAGAGTGTCGTTTTTACCGACGAGACGAAGATCAATCTTTGGGGATCAGATGGTGCAACATACACTTGGTTACAGCAAGGGTTTAAAGCGAGTCCCCATAACTACAAGCTATTGCTCAAGCACAAAGGTGGTTCTCTGATGATGTGGGGTGCATGACATCTTCCGGAGTAGGATATGCCTCTCGAGTGCTTCAAAAGACAATGGATACCGATTGTTATTTGGAGATTCTAGGGTCGTCATACCTCGATACATTGGAGTATTATAGTATGGATCCACAAAAAACTATCTTTCAACAAGACAACGACCGAAAACACAAAGCAAAGGCTACCATTTCTTGGCTTAAAGCCCACAAAGTCCACTTTATTGCTGACTGGCCACCTAACAGTCCCGACTTGAACCCAATAGAGCATCTTTGGAGACAATTAAAGTGTAGACTAGCCGGATATGATACAAAACCAAAAAATCTGGACGAATTGTGGTCAAGGGTCGAAAAAGAATGGTACAAATTTCGCAAAGGCGACATGGAGGCATACTATAGCAGCATGCCTCAACGTATAGAAACAGTCATCAAAGCAAAGGACGGTTATACTAAATTTTGAGCTTTTCAAATAAAGAATAAATTTTGGTGAAACACAAATATTCTCTTTTTTAAAAATGAAACGCTGTTATTAGATGCATTTAGCAGCAATAAACAGTGTGACTCTTATTGTCGATGCTTGATTGATACATGTGCCAAGTTTCAGAAGGATCGACCGAATTTTTGTAGAGAAGGGTTAAAAAACAGGTTCTATGGGACAATTAGTGTAACCACTGTATATCAAAGTAACATATGACAACCGATAGATCTTCAGCTTGTATTACAGGTTTGTGCGGCGAAATTAAGTGTTTAACAGGAGGTTGGAATCTGTAAACATTTTTTTCTTCTACAACATTCATTCCGTAGACCCAAATACAAGTGATACATTAAAAAAGTGCGATATTCAAGTAGTAAGAAATACATACGTCGTCTATGGTACTGAACGCATCATCATCATCATCGTTTATGGTATTTTTAGGAGCACTGTCATCTTCAGTATGACATGAGGAAGTTGGGGTACTAAGTGTGATATCTCGTTGTCTTCTTCATCAACCAACTCTTAGTTTACACTTCTCTGTGAGAAACTCAGGCCAATTTAAAAGCTTAATATATACATACATACTTTGTCAATTTTTTACTTTTTGTTTGGGTCTTTATTAATGCTTCCTTCACCAACCTCTTTTGTTCTTTAAGTTATCACTCTGTTGCTTGCAATTCTTGTTTCTGATTTCAGACTGTTCTCGCTTCTCTTTTCTCTCCATTCTACTTCTTTCAACGCATATAAAGCCATAATTTGATTTTTGACGAATATGTTACTAAGATAAGTTTCCAAACAGCCACAGTGGTTTTGTACAGCTTTGATTACTTCTTTGTTCTCCTTAATCTTTTCTAGGAAGTTTGAGGCAGTTGTTAACAGAGAATGGCCATTCTTTACAATAACAAGTGATGCTTTAAAATATACATCTAACAACTCAGGCATCATGGCCCAATTTTGCAATTCCCCAGTAAATAAATAGGAAGGTAACTCCAAAGCCTGTCTTAAACTATCGGGTATCCTGTAGTCTTTGATAGTAGCGTATGGTTTGGGTAATGTGGGTGGTAGTATGGACATTTTTTCTTACAAAGATAAAAAGGGTGGAGGTCCTAAGCACGTGCGCAAAGTTCATCGAAGTTCGACGTCATTGCCTGACATCTAATTTTACGGGGTTTACAAAGAAAATCAACTAAAATCATGTTTTGTTTTGATGAGAACTACTTTTGTGATATTTTGATAATAGAGTTATATAATAAGATGATATAGAGACAAAGGTAGATACTTTGAGAGTGTTTTATACAATTTTTGTTGTTTTTCTTTTTGATTATAAATTATTCTAGCATATTTATACATGAAGAGATGTCGGAGTAAGTAGTAGTAGAGTTCATGCAAATGACTGAGTCTCTATTATCATAGACTACTTTAAATTAATTAAATAATATAAATTATGGATTTCGGTTATAAGTCTTGATCTATTAAAAGATACATTGTCTTATTCAGTACAAGAGGTTCTTTTATGTCTATTTCTGATGTAAATTGATTATGATGTATTTTGGTATGTAATTGAAGACTTATTAATGTCAGATCATCGCAACTTTACATTACTCATGTGAATCTGCTATGCTTTGTTTTCTACCATTTGAGCCACCTACGGTGTCTGCAAAGTACAAGTGTTGAGGTAGTGAACAATATTCTAAGCATTCATTACTGTCTGTTAGAGGTTAGGCGATCTGAACTTGTACCGGCATAAAGCTTAATTTTATTATACACAGTAAAGAAAAAATGGAGCAAGAAGGAGGTAATAGACGTTGTGACTTTCCTATTACATTTCTTTTACTTCTAAGTGCCTTTTCTTACCTCCAGTGACAGTTTGCAATTCGACTTTTGCAGTAGGAGATTCAACGATTGCTGGTCAGTCACGAGCAGGCCAACCTCAACTGCGATGCATATTAACATCAAACCCAAATTCGTCTAGAAATACGTAGTTCTTAAAAAATCCATTCCTCGACCTATACAACACGCACTAGAAGAGTAGTATCACAATTCCTAGCTTTTGGATGATGACTTACGCCCTTGATACTGAGATTACATGAGTTCAGCTACTCTTGATTTCTTGATATTCAGACCTGCAAAACTCTCGATCAAATCATCCGTTGCGTCCTGAATAGCTGCTAAGGAACTATCGTCAAAAAACTCGACAAGTGTTCCTTATGCTCATCGTTTAATCGACTGATTGGTCTGTTTGAGGTACGATTGGCTTTCCTCAAGGGTATATCCTTATCTGGGTCACTTTCATAGGCTTGTTTCCATTTGCGCGAGGTATCATAATTGACGTTCGCGGCTTTGGCTGCCTCCTTGAGCGTCATTATCTTTAATTTCAAGAAGTAAAAATATCTCTTGTGGTCCTCATCAGCGTAGTCATTGTACTGAATAGTTCTTTCTTTCTTAGGGACAGGCTCTTTCATTACGGCATCACAAGGAACAGCTAGTTCAAGCTGAGCTTTTTAGTTTTTGACAAACTTTTTTAGATCAGTCAGTTTTCTCAATCGGAACGACTTCTCCTCAACAAAGGTTGTTGTTTCTTTTCCTTTCTCACCAACAATATTATCACAACCGTCTTCGTGAAAAAAACTGCATTTCTTAAACTAATAAATGTGAGAGAAAACTTGTCTCTACAAAGCAACCAAATACAAAATATTTCCTTGATCAATTTATTTTCAAACATGCGGACAATTACATTTCTTTTTTTGACCAAGTGTTGTATACACAGCATTATTCATCCCTTCTTACACTAGTTATGCCTTAAAAGAGCAAGTATTAATATCATGTATAAATATATCTTTCAATCACAGTTTTATCCGCAGCTTCGATGGATGTCTTCTGTCTTAGTTTAAACATGTTAAAGATCAGACCATCACATAATCACAAATTGACATCTGCATCATTACCAATGGTAGACGAGGTCTGTGCCCTGATCATGTACCCAGTTCTTGTGTACCTTAACCCACTCAACCGATTAGCTAGTGTATACACACTCAGTCCCAAATTAAGGATAATCAATTATCATACAAACAGTATAAATACAATACAAAATATAACCTTTAATAAAGCGGACTTCTTTTGGCCGTTTTGGTTCTAATCGACTTATTGATTTGACCATTTTATTAGTGATTATATCACACCAAGTTATTTTGAAAAAAGTACAGATAGCAACGTAATTGATCGCTTTTCCTACAATTTTACATGACTTGGAGTATTTTGATTGACTCGTAACATTTTTTTATTATTTATTTCTAAGAAAAGAAAAAAAAAGTTGTATTTACTTACCTTCTTAGTACTTATCTGATTCTATTGGTATACGTCACTAGTGGCCATTACATGGACTCTTTATTTTGACATTTATCCCAGCACTTGTAAGAATGCGAAACGAGACCTTTGAAGTGACTTTTTTCCACACTTTTGCAGGCTTCCGTAGTTCTTTCTGATATAGTGTCCTCCTGTACAAACCTATGGCGCTTCACCTTGCTCTTTGCCTCTGCCCAGAATTGTTCAATTGGGTTAAGCTCGGGAGAGTAAGGAGGAAGATACACACATTTGTATCCTCGATAATCAATATACTTCTTTATGTTTTCATGTGTGTGAATGGGTGCATTATCTTTGACTGTGTAATGGCCTTTCATATATGGATGTTTATCCATTTCATCGAGAGTCGTTTTTAGAAAACTAATGTAATGGCCTGTTACAGTCCCTGAGCTTATATATCTATCAGCCTTTTTCTTTTTAGCAGGTCTTGAGTTTTTTACGCCGACTGTTATCAAACCCACGGCAGAGTTAGCTCCCAATATAGACGTTGTACTTGCTCTTGTAGTAAGTCTGGTAACAAGAGCACGGGTACCTTTTTTAGATTAAGCTCTTGAGCGTTTCCTATTTATATCAAA